CAGAAAGAGTAGAGGGTTTACCTACTCTGGCAATATCGTCCTTGATACGTTCCGGCAATCCGTTATAGAAAAAATGACAAAGCGCGGCTCCTCCGTAACCATGAAGTTGAGAGGTGTGTCGGTTGAACTCAACGACGTATTTATTGATGTGGTGCCCATCCTTCATGTCCAGGGTCATCAGTTGAACCTCGGCGTCGCCCACGGGATCGTGAGGACCGAAGTTAGTTTGAAGTTCGTTGACGAACTCTTGGTAGTTATTCATCCATCGCGGACGAAGAGTAGAATTTTGGTCGAATAATAAATCCGGCTCGAACCAATCAAGGGCCATTCCCTTGAGGTAGGACTGCACAAAGATGACCTTAGCGCGGTCACTAGCAAAAGCGAGGGGATGGTCCTGGAAATTGAGTTCGCATTGGACCAGAAATACTCGGAGTTCTCAGGGATCTTTCCCGTCGAACTGTTCGGGCTCACGGACCTTGGTCTGGAGAGCAGAGGATGGTGGAGGTGGTGGACGACCGGTGTGACGAGCCAAGCTGGCAATGGCTTGGGCTAATTGTGCAATAGCCACGTTGGGGATAGGTTCGGCTTCGTCGGTGGTAGGGACAGTGGGGATGGGAGGATCAGCAGGAGGAGGGTCGACGAAGTCGGGGACCTTGGAACCGAGTCCAAAGAAGTGGGCAGGGTCTATGGGTTGTTCCGTGGTGTCTCTGAAGTCGGAATCTGCAACTGGTGATTGATTCCTAATGGGGCGCATGATCGGGGTCGATGGGAGAGGGGTGTCAGGGATGGCTCGAGGAAGGCAGAGGTAGCGGCGTAACACTCGGCGCTAGCGGCCCGGACGGCGGCAGGGCGGTGAGACCATATAGTGGATAGCCCTTACTCGGGCTTACGTCCCTGTGTGGCTTCTTAGGCTGAAGTGGGAAATGTATTGTTATTAGGGTGGGAAGCCAGACTAAACTAGGGTACTTGCCTGAAGCGGGAAATGAGAAGAAGGTTACTTCTTCGGTCCTGCTTCGGCCTAGTTTATATACATGTGTGAATGGGTCACATGGGGTTGCCACGTCACCCTCGGATGAAGCCGGGTTACCGTGGGTGGTTCCGCAGTCGATCCTGAGTGTTGGAGGGGAAGTACAAGTAGAAGTGTGCAGCGCATCCGGCGTTGCGGTGCCCCTACCGGGTGCTCAGTGTCGGACGCATCCGTGCTACAAGGGTAGGAAAGAAAGAGAGGTCGTCTGTATAAAGATAGAAAAAGAGAAGAAGGAAAGAAGAGAGAATGAGGGGATGAGACAGAAGGAAAAGGAGGTGGTGACGGCAGCGTGCCCTGACAAGGGGTTTCAAGATTAGAAAAGCTTCGAAACTCAACTGGGTTTCTCGCCAATCGACTAGGACCAGGCTGTGAGGGTTCTGGGGATGGTGAGGCAGAGTTGGGAACTAATGTGCGTAGTTGCAAACGAGTGCGAGGGGCTTTTGGTGCCATACAAGACGTGTACTAGTCAGGGAGTAATAAAATACTGTCAGAGACCGGGTCGAGACGAAAGAGTGTCTCCGTGATGGAGGGCTTCGGCCTCAGCGACTTATGCCAGGAGCGCTGTGCCTAGTAAACACATCCGTTGTCATATCCATACAATCCCGACCTCCGCTCCGGGCTCCCGGAACTCCGAACTCCGACTTCCGGAGCCCTACTTCCCTTCCATCACTTTCTCCTTGCCGACTCCCAAGAGGTTATCCCACCTCCGGCCCAGACACCACCTTCGGTCCGACTCCGGAACATTCCGGGTCCGACCCCAACCTCGACACCTTCCAGACGAGTACGCAAAACCTATGCTCCCGACTCCGGACCTCCGCTCCGGAATCCCGCTCGCATCTCCGTCTCCGGAACCTCCAGTCTTAGCTCCGACCTCGGACTTTGACCCCACCTCTGCTTATACCCATTGTATTGGTTAGCTCATTCCATTTAATTACATTTGCCAATATTCTGGAGTTTAACTTCCGAGTTCGGACTTTCCGGACTTACCTCGGACCTTGCAACTATTGCATTGTCCATTTCAATTCTGCTATTCTCCCTCATTTCTATTTGGGCTGCTGCTTCCTTTCTATTCAGTCAGCTAGCCGTTTCCCACTCCCAACCTCCTTCCTTCCTCCTTGGGCCTTGGCCCTTCATTCCTCCTTTGAGAAACACCATTGAGTCAAACCCTTGACCCTCGGTGTTGTTCCTCTTTCCATCTCCCTTTGTCTCCTTTCGTCCTACCCTCGCTCCTTTTGATTCCGGACCCCTCCTTATATACAATGTACATAGTAACTTGTAACCTCAGTCCGAAATCGACCTGAATTCCCCCCAAGAGACTTCCCCTCTGCTAGATCCGAAATTAGGGACCCCCAGGACAACCAGCAATGGCACAGCGCTCCACCTGAGTCGCTGAGGCCAAGGTCCTTCCATGCTAAGTCTCCGATTCCACTCCGGAGTCGTCCGAATCCGCAAGTTCTAACACTCTCGATACTCCGGAGCACTCAGGAGCATAACGATTTTTTGCTGATGTCGGATGACTCCGGAGTGGAATCGGAGACTTAGCGTGGAAGGACCTTGGCCTCAGCGACTCAGGCAGAGCGCTGTGCCATTGCTGGTTGTCCTGGGGGTCCCTAATTTCAGATCTAGCAGAGGGAAAGTCTCTTGGGGGCATTTCAGGTCAATTTCGGACTGAGGTTACAAGTTACTATGTACATTGTATATAAGGAGGGGTCCAGAATCAAAAGGAGCGAGGGTACTCTGAAAGGAGACAAAGGGAGCTGAAAGGAGGGACAACACTGAGGGTCAAGGGTTTGACTCAATGGTGTTTCTCAAAGGAGGAATGAAGGGCCAAGGCTGTGAGGTCTTTGGGTAGCTCAGCACACAAAGCCGTAAGTGATACAAGTATGTGTATTTTACGGTGGTGTGTAAGCAGTTACCCGGAGGTTCCCGCTTACCCACATGACTATATGTATCTAATTTACATATGACTCAGGGTTCGGGGCTATTGCCCTGACAAAGGCTCAAGGAGGAAGGAGGGAGGATGGGAGTGGGGAATGGCCAGCTGACTGAATAGAAAGGAAGCAGCAGCCCAAATAGGAATGAGGGAGTATAGCGGAATTGAATAGGACAATGCAATAGTTGCAAGGTCCAAGGTAAGTCCGGAAAGTCTGAACTCGGAAGTTAAACTCTGGAATATTGGCAAACATAATTAATTGGAATGAGCTAACCAATACAATGGGTATAAGCGGAGGTGGGGTCAAAGTCCGAGGTCAGAGCTAAGACCGGAGGTTCCGGAGATGGAGACGCAAACGGAGCGGAGGTCCGGAGTTGGGAGCATAGGTGTTGCATGCTCGTCTGGAAGGTGTCGAGGTTGAGGTCGGAACTAGGATGTCCCAGAGTCGGACCAAAGGTGGTGTCAAAGCCGGAGGTGGGATAACCTCTTGGGAGTCGGCAAGGAGAAGGTGACGGAAGGGAAGTAGGGCTCCGGAGTTCGGTTTCGGAGTTCCGGGAGCCCGGAGCGGAGGTCGGGATTGTATGGATATGACATCATCCACCCAGCTCGTTTTCATACTACTCTCTGCATGTATGTCCACCTGGCCATACATCGGAGCAGCTAATTGTTAATGCTTCATTCAGCCCGACCTTCATGTTAAGAGCACTCACTCTTTTGAAGCTTAGGTATTTTAACTGCGTATGAAGGGTTACCGTACTCTCCTCTTCCTCTCCACCCTAATTCAAATCCGAAAGCTACGAGTCGATTCAAAACACTGGGCAGGGGCCTCTACTCGGAGTCTGTAAACTACCCATGCAATCCTAACCAACCACCATTGGCTACAGCCTTAGCAATTCACTCATGTTTATTTCCTCGCAAGTCATGAATCTTCATTTACATGCCAATCCATGTTCCAATTCGGTCTAGCCAACAGTTGGGCTAGATTTAGGCAGGTTCGTCGCATCTGAGATCTCAGGGGCACGTACCCCACTCACAAACCACGACAATTGTGTTTCATCATTTGGCCAGTCGTTTGTTCTTAGCTTCCCAATGCACCCATTGACGCATAACAACACGACCCACCCTGACACCATCTCCACCACAACGACTTTGTTTCCTCTGCCCTAGAACTCGTGATTTTTCCAACTTATCCCGTATATCGAGTACTGGTGAAATATATGTTAAGCAGGGATATCGAGGCGGCGTAAAGAACAACCTCAATGGCATGTTTGCCAAGCCGTAGCAGGCTGATTGTCATTTCCGATGATATCGATCACAGTAACACTCGACGAGGGTAGCATGTCTCCCAGATTTGATGTGCCATTGCGAGGCCTCAAGGACTCGCCCAATGAGACCTGGACGATAAGGCAGGGTAACTTGACAACTTTAACCCATTCCTCCCGACAATGATGAAATGCACCTGTCCATCGTCTTCATTAGTGTACGTAGATGCAACCCATTCTGATGGCATATTTTGAGGCTTTTACTATTCCCGAGACAACTACAACGCAAACTGACTAACAAGCACAAAGAATGTGGATCATGGGCCTGTAGAAGTGCTAAGCGATTTGGCTAATATCAATGACGATAGGGGCTCTCATACGGCCCTGAACCAAGAATCGCATCCCGTCCTTGCTAGCACGGGGAAAGTAGATGAACTCTTCATACCCTATCACCCGATCTCCATACCACTCTTCCAGCCCATCATGGCACCCCATACTAAGGACAATTGGATGATATTGGATTGGGAGAATGAGTTTCAATGTATTATCGAGCAATAGTTTCAGTTTAGGAGGGCTGACCAGCTCCTGATCAACTTCAAGTTGATCGTAACCAGAAGGTTCCGTCGCTGGCAGAAGTCTTGGCCGTTGTGAGAGTCGTAGGCTTCTATGAGACAGCGACTTCAGCCATGATTTATCTGAACGGTACTTCACCCCAGAGCCCCGCCTATGAGGGACATCATCCTCCGAGTCCTCAATGGCCCCACTGGTGATGTATGGGCGGTATGGTGTTACACCTGTAACAAAAGCTCCGAAATCCAATAGGTGACGACTAATAATGAACTGGCGTGACGTTGTCGACCAAATGAAAGCCTGGTTCTGATCACAAGCGACAACATATCCTGCTCCAGGAGACAATTCAAGGAAGAGGCAGTGAGGGTGGTGAGCTGGAATAATGGTACCAGGAGAGGAAAGAAGGTGGACGGATGGCTCCCCTGAAGCATACAGGATTGACACACTTTCATACCAGTTGAGATCAAGATGCCGTGGGAGTCGAACGATGAATGATCCATTATCCGCTGCCACAGTGACAGGGGGATAATGCCCGCTGGGGAGCGTACCAAGCTTCAGGGGCTGTGAACCATGGTCGAAGATGAATACATTCCCTTCATTATCTTCAGTAGCAATTCGGGGCCCACCGGAGATAAACTCGATCCACACTGGGGGACTACACGAGTCACATTGGAATCGGGTGATGGAATGCTGCTGATCAATGTCAACAACTTCAATGCCACCATTGCCGAAGCCGAGTGCGATATGACAGCCATCTTTGGAGATCGCTGCAGAAGTCACTGTACCTTCACAAATATCAGGATCAAAAAGTTCGGCCCTGGGCCCATAACCTCGCTGCTCCATTGGCAACCTTCTTAGCTTTGCCTCCATAATCATCGAAGCATTGAGTGCATGCTGGCTTAATGGAATCAGATGACCAGTAAACTCTCCGGAAATGCTGAAGATCCGAACGTGATCAGAGAGATGACTGTACGATTCGAAGAGTGGGGATGAGGTTGGAGTGAAGGGAAGCATGGAGCGAAAAATGTGCCAAGGATAAAACAAACGGACGGCTTCAGATTTGGACAAGCAGCTGGGGTGGACAGCCATAAGAGGAGTAGGATGACGATATTGGTCAACTACATATTCATTCGCTCTCTCGGCTTCTCTCAATAGTTGAGTTGAACCGTAATTATTATTCTAGAGTGAAATGATGCCACACCATTCAAATCATCGGAATCCATTGAGTATAAACTTACGTTAGATTGACGGAAGTTATCCGGCAACGTGAATTCACCCTGCGACAGTACGATGAACCAAAGTAAGTTATGGGTAAGGAAGTGATCAAACTCCTGCTGTAGTTCATTGGAGTCTTGAAAGAATAGCTTTGAAGAGTCCAAGTGGCTGAACAAGTATTTGACAGCATATTGGGTATGTTCAGGTTGGTTCTTCCACCGAAATCCCATCCACTTCTTCTTATCTCCTAAAAAACGATCCGTGGGCATCGCTAATCCCCTTAGGAATCGAAGGAGTAGTAGCCCTAGGAAATACCCATCCTTATCGATAAAGAAAGGATGGTCACATGTCGGATGCCCCACGATGAACTCCTTCGCTGTTGCATGATAAAATTTGGGCTGCCCTTCTCCAGTTGAAGGAAGATCGACAATTGAACTGATTGGTCCCAAAGTTGCATAGACTTCATCCTCTGTAATCCCCAAAAGCTGCGCAATGGAATTCACACTCAACAGTTCCCGTGCCACAGCAAGCGTCCCCACTACAAGCCGGTAATTTTCAATTGCATCTGGACGAGCAGGAAGTGATTCCAGCGTATAGGCTCGCCGCAGTATTCGCAGGTACTCCGAATTGAGATCAGTCGGTGCATCCAAGAGATTTCGGAAGTAATCAAACTCTGATTTGAGGGTGACACCTCGTTGAGTCCGAGCACAGACTTCACGTATGCGCATCGAAGCAATAACGGGCAGTTCGCGACATGCTGAAGCAAAAGTATCGAGATCCTCCTCCAATGGTTTCCATAATGATTTCGAGATGCGGATCTTCAACCCATCATCTACCATGCGGCGTATAGTGTAAAAAGTTTCGCTCTTATTGATCATGTCCATGTTGTCACATGGAATGACATCACCCCAAACTCCACCTTGAGCCTGAGCCCGAATAACTTGGGTCTCTGGACGGGAACTGACCAACACGGCAAATGCGGAGGGTAGACCCTCAAGCATTATCACGAGCCCCATCAAGGATTCAAGCGCCTCCTGGTTCCCACACTCATCCAACCCATCCAAGACGATGGCAAAATGCTCCCTCCTTGACGAAAACATGTCCTTGATGTTACTCATAGGTTCAATGATCAGAGCCCTCATTTGTTCTTTTAGTGGTAGACTCTGGACCATCCTAAGAGCCGGGTTCTGAAGCTGCTTGACAAGGAGAATTTCGTAGTCTGCATTGAAGTGTGCAAGCTGGTATGCAAGAGAGGAGGGAAACATTTCGATAGAATCAAGGCCGGTGCCTTTTCGGTTCTTATCCCAAAAGAATGACGCTGCCAGAGCACCTCGCTGGTCCAGAGTGGATGAGATACTTTTGCATATCGCCGTTTTCCCGGTACCAGGAGAACCTCGCAGCCATACGAATCGGTTCTGAGCATTCCTCAAATGATTCAATAAAGAATCCTGCATCCTTGCCCGCGTGTCTGGAAGGCACTCCGATTTATTCGTAACGAACTTGTACTCGGCAGGAACCTGGCCCAATTTTGAGAGTTCGGCTGATAACAGTGGTAAATCTTATGCCCAAAGTTACGCATGGCAACATACACTTTAAGAATGACTTTATTACCTGGACAAGCGTCAAAACTGTTGCCTCAGTCTGCAGTACACATCTCGATCAGCCAATAATTAATGCTTAAGGTGCTGAACAACGCACCGAGAATGACGTAACAGCCTTATTTAAGCACGCTTTTACTTCGTTTATGCTCTGGGTGATTTCTTTTGATAAAAACACCCTCTCAAGGCGACCCCGACTCTGTAGTGACTTGATTTGCTTAATCTGCTCCACAAGAGCCCTGGGGATGTTTAACGCTAACAACTGAAAAGAGGCTAGGGGACTTACAAGTAGAAATCTTTGATCAGATCTGTTAGTGGGGGAGGGATGCTCCCTGTCCACAGCAGCAGTGGTCGCAAAATAGTAGTATAGGCCTTTTGAACCTCGTCGTTCAGGCCTTTAAGATCTTTGCAATTTTTATCCGCTGACTGTACGGATCACCAGCGATATGTCAGCGCTGATTGTAAAAGCCTGAACTGTAATCCGAACCTCGTAGACTTGGAGTAATATGAGGAGTAGGTCAGGGATCTGACCAAGATACGGAATAGGGGTTAGCTTGAGAGTAGCCGAAGCGACTTGGAGAACGGCCCCTGCACCGCTAACGAATGATTTCTTTCTATCCACACTTGCGCCGGCAGATGATGACACTGGTTCCAGAAAAAGGAGAGGCAGCGATGATTCAAGGTCGGCAAGGGAAGATGTAGTAGAGCTCGAAGCCCAGGAGGGGGGTACGTTTGATCGATGAATGGGATTGGGATTAGGACTTAGACTCCTCCTAGCCGGTGGAGTCACGCTCCCGGGATGCACTTGTCGCTTCGGCTTCCTGCGGCTATGGGAGCCCGACTGCGAAGTGCGTGTGATATTGGGGGGCCTAAGGCGAGATTCAGCTGAGTTATCGGGCGAATTATGGTGACTTTTGTTGCGATTCTCTATTGGGGCACTGTTGACATGGATCAGGTGAACCTCAGAGGAAGTCGATGCTTGTGATAGCGACTGCAGATCATTCTCAGGGGCAGGGCGCTTCGTTTTGGAGTGTTGAGAAAGATGGGATGCGTTTGTTTTGGGGGACATTACAGTTGTTTGGACAGCAGCAGAGGCAAAGATTGGTTCACATACTATACAACCCCGGAAGCAACAATCCATGCCTCAGAGTTCAATCGTGAAAGCAATGTTACGATACTGCGGAACCAACGTTATCATGTGTTACCGTGTTTGGCAACAGAAAGGTTTGAGCATTCTTTTGGGAGGATCAACGCTCGCTTGCCGTTACACAGGCTTACTCAGCCAAGGGGCCCAACGTGGGGATGACCTGATATGCCTAAAGTATTACAATATTCATCCAATGGTTTCCAAAGAATTCAAAGACGGCAGACATCATACAAAGGTCATTCGCTTGGTACTCATCAGCACTAGATATTGGAGCCCTCCGTGTACTCTCGCAAGGAGGTAGCCATCAAGGACATACCGAGATTTGGCTGAGGGATAATCCATGTAGACAACAGCGTAACTTATGAGCGGCGGGATGAGGGCAGTCCTCTCACATGATATACAGTGAGCTCTGGAGTGGAGGCAAGAAGCAGATTTGCAACGATATAGAAACACGAAAATATTAGCCGTGCACATGCGATTTCTGTTCCGCACAACGCAAGGAAGAGGACAGCTCAGACAGGCATGACTTTTCGCTGGTCAATGGTCCTTGAAAGACCGTGACATCATCTGTATGTAGGACTACGCCGGAGGAAGACCAATCCTGCTTTCAGCTGCACAGGGGCACTCGGTCGCTTGCGCACTTCCTCTCGTTAGAAACACAGACGGTCGAGGGAAAATGAGGTGGGACAAGTATGCAGATGGAAATCCGTTGTGCGACGTGCGGCCACGAGCGCGACTTGAAGAAGGCGCAAAGGAAACGTTAGATATAATAAATGGGAGTGTCGCATATCCGGCCTTGTCGTGCTCCGCCGTGGTTTGAGACAAGTCAATGATAACCAGCCAGTTTGAACGAGTTTTCAGAAGAATTGTGGATGAGAAACAAGGATCGATGCGGTATTCCGCTGGAACACTCATTCAATGAAGCTTCCCCTCCAGTCTGCAGGGCCGCATCGTCGAGAGACCTTGCACGATAGAAAATGTCCTTTGACACTGACAGTGACAGCACGGCAACTGTATAGTATTTACATTTGTTTACGCGTCGAACATTGACTCAGCATAACAGACAGCTTCCCCAATTTGTGCACCACTTGGCGAAGGGAGCGTGAACTGGCCACGGCCCACCTAGGCCTGAAATCCGTATCGTTAATGGTACTTTTGTCAATCTCCGTTATGCGTTGGACTCGGACAAACTTGACCATCGTAATGGTAAACCCGCCCAATTCTCAAAGCAGCCCTCTTGCAAATATAGTCCTCAGATTCAGAAGACGTAGTGTCATTCGAGATTGACGGACTCTTCGGTTTAGGTGGAGGACGTCCAATACATGCTGATATCTGTTTGGCTCATGTACACACAAAGATGAATAGAAGACAACCCAAATATGACGTTCATCCCGTACGTTCGTGACCGATGGAAAGGGATTTCATGTACGGGAGTGGTGATGAACAGTCCGATGGAGTAGAACCAAGACGCAGGCCATTTAGACGTAAATGTAGTCTAACACGGGGAACATTTTGTGGTGTTGAAAAGGGACAGCGTCGTCAACCCAGATGCTCCAGCCTGGGTAAGCAGGTCAAACATTACGTCGTTGACGGGTTTCCAAAAAATCAGTTGATTAAATTCGGACGTGACATACGTAGGGATGGGGGAAAAAGAGAAATGGTTAGTCACAATGCGCAAAAACCAGTGGAGTTGGGACCAAGACATAGACATACTATTCCAAGCACACCGGTTTGAAGCACGAACTTCGTCACTCGATTTTTGTCGTCGTGCTCAAATCGACAGGTAACCTCAACGTCACGTTGAATCCCTTCGGGCTGCCAATGTTCCCCAAGTTCACCTCCCACAAATCTATACCACCAATACTGATTCCCTTCCCACCAGGGCCACTACCAAGGTTATGCAGACCCAATCCGCCATCTGCTCCAGGAACGGGGGCCACAGCCGGGATGGGAAGCCCCAAGAATGACACCCCGCGCTGTTCCAAAGAGAGCGTAGAATTGATGGTTGCTTTGGATGAAAGGGGATATGTGGAATGTCACGATGAACTCCTCACCGAGGTGGAGGATTTTTGTTGGGGCAGAAATGCTGTCGATTAGGGCGCAAGTTGAAGAGATAAGGAGGAAGATGAGTGAGAGGGCGGATGTGAGGGCGTGGATCTCCATAAGTGAAGCGAGGCGAGTAGATTGGATAAGGCTCTACAGGGATTGAATGTCGAGTGAGCAGTGAGAATAGATATAGTGGGTCGCCGAACCTAAAGGATGTACCAGTCAATGTCAGCGCTTTTCAAGCATAAACACGCTTGGCGCTCAATCCCTCTCGTGAACTTGGAGACGATGAACGTCCTAGTATCTAAAAGTACAAGCCCTTTATATCCCACGACGCACATGTATCTGAAATTTAGGGATCCACACAGTTAACGGTAACTTACATATCAAGATCGCGAATAAACTACAACACGCGTGGAATAGATTAGATATATTGCGCACAAGTAAGTTCCAAATGTGTGAACGGTCACCCCATTACTCGCTCTCTGCGATTGGCCAATGATGTAAACGTTGGTTTAGATTAGGCACCCCACCGTGATACCGAGATCAGGCTCGTGTTCTGGGCGAGAAAGTTGAACGAAGGGGTTCTACCGGCCGCGAAGAGCAGAGTAAGGCTGAACAAGCAAATGTGAGGCAACGCACTGTGGGAGAAAATCCACCGTGTTCATCGCCGCTTCGCCCAAGCCAAATGCCATTCCCACCCCTGCCCAAATGAGGAACGCCCTCATTAAGTCACGCTACGCCAGAGTGGTTACAAGTACATCTCCATTGGAGTAATGTGCATACGTATGTCCGGTGAAAAGTGGTATCGATCGTGTCCAGTAACTGAACTCCGAGAGAGAACGTAAACACAACTTGCATTGAACGTTCGTCCGCAGCTGGACAGCAAACAATATCGGGGCCGGATTGACGTCATACGGCGGCTGAGCAGAAGACCAACCAGTGCTGACCAAGACAATGTCGATTGGGCGGGGTGGAGCCCGCACGTCCGTCAGTAGAGGGGGCATACTCTTTCGCACCGACGACAGCTGCGATCACACCCCGGCCAGAAACCCTGTGACTCTACACTTCCCTGATTTCATTGTTTGGGTCGGGCCTTCATTTGTTACTGTAAGTGTCCATGGGGACCATATACAGAGCTCATTGTTGCGGGAGATTCGCTAAGGATCTGATTCAGGGCCGTTTGCGGGTGGAGCCAGGGAGCTTGGCCTTATGGTGATGCAGATCAGAATCATACAGTAAACAATAGCCAGTCTCCTTTCGGCTGCGCCGAAGCCGCATGCGAACTGACGTGACAGCCCGTGTAAAGTCACAGTGCATACTGGAATTAAGTTCGTACCCAGAAGCAAATGATCGGCTGGGCAGGTTACCAGCCTACGACGAGATAAGGATTTCTAAATGTGTCAGCGTGCACTGATCTAACACTTGTACGTACCAACTTGTCCTAGCTCCAGAGCAGATTCATGAACCTGAATGCAAATGAAACGGTGTAGGCCTGAGGCTGTGCTCATCCGTTGGTAACAGCAGCGTCACCCATGGGTTCTGGGAATGCTCAGGACAGGTATCAGGCACAGCGGCCGAGTGTAAGCTATCTTTGTCTAGCCCAGACCTTCACCTCGCATTCGAGTCAACGCCCAAAGTCGTTCAACTTCCTAGCAACAAGTTGGCTATCGCCATCATAGACCAGATACCTATATCCAGCATTGAACCATTTGGTGCCTGGTGTTGTTGGCGGAGCTGTTCAATGCATAGCTCGACTTGGAAACGAACTTGGCAATCAGCTTAGATGTAACACATCACTCGACAGTTTGGGTGCTCCGTCTCACAGGCACAGATACGGGGTTTTAAAATGATACATACACGCACACACACAGGGCACTGAAAAATGTTTGTGCCGCATAATAGGTTATTTACTGGTCCGCGATGGATGATTGTGTACATGACTGAAAATACTTCCACGCAGTGAACTGGCGCGCGTAGGCCTATCAGCTTTTTGTCCGTATAATTTTTCATGTCATGCACACATGCGCTGGGAGGACACTGGGGTGGCATACCATATCTGTGCATGTATTCGCATGCGTCGGCGCCGAATTGGCAGTGTTATGTATCGTTGGAGAGCCGCCTCCGTCATCAATTTGTGCATGCATTCTCTCTCTTGCGGATACTTCCCCGGGCGCACCACATGTGCACTCAATTGCGCCTGCCTGCTCTATCTTACCTACGATCTGTTACAGCTTCCCCTTCTCGTGATGGCCGAGCCAAACGCAACATATTTTGGCCACAATCCAATATCGTCTCGCCAGGAGTATTTTCATGATCAATGAGGGACCTTATTGCGGAAGCCGGCACTAGCACGAAACGGTCCAGCATGGCGCGTTACTTGCGCGTCGAAAGGAACCGTGAATGGGTCGTGATCCACCTGCTTGCGCCGATGACTCCCTTGAGTGGGTTCTTATGTCAATCCTTGTCGGATGAACTACGACCTGACACTTACGCTGGAGCGACCAATTCCTTTGCATTCGTTGTTCGACCTGGACAACACGAACTGAACCATTGCAATTGCAATCCGCCCGATTCCCCAGGGCCAATGTCAACCATTTTTGCAAACATTTTCAGAAGATATATTGTCGTCCGAGATCGATGATCTCCCCAGGTTTGGTTGTAGAGCAGTTCGGTCCATGTACAAACAAAAATGAATAGAAAAATGGACGGGAGTAAAACGAGCACTAGATCACTTATACACGAATGTGGTCCGGGGAATAATATCGATGAAACGCGTTAGAAATTTGTTGGGGTGGGCATCAGGAGCGTTAGGGAGACTTGATACTAATCGTAGTGTTGAAAAAAGACAGCGTTGTGAACCTAGATGCTCCCACCTGGGTAACCCGTCCCGAAATTACGTCATCGACGAGTTTGGTGGTTTAGATTTGAACGGAGGAATGAAAAGAAAAATCAAATCAAAATCAAAGTGGTTAGTCGCGATGCGCGAAAACTCAGTGAAAGACCAAGGCATACGTTTCCAAGCACACCAGTTTGAAGCACGACCTTCGTCACTCGATTTTTCGTCGTGCTCAAATCCACGGGTAACCTCAACGTCACGTTGAATCCCTTCGGACTACCAATGTTCCCCAAATTCGCCTCCCAGAGATCTATTCCACCAATGTCGATCCCAGATTTTCCCTTCCCGCTGGGTCCGCTAAAGAGGTTACGCAAACCCAATCCACCATCTGCACCAGGAACGGGGGCCACAGCCGGAATGGGGAGTCCCAAGAAGGATACTCCCAAGCCAGGAAAGGGTGCTATCCCGAAGAGAGCGTAGAATTGAAGATTGTTTTGGATGTAAGGAGTTGTGTGGAATGTCACGATGAACTTTTCACCTGGGTGAAGGATTTTTGTAGGTGCGGAAATGCTGTGGATCAGACTTCGAGCCGGGGAGATGAGAAGGAGTAAAACGAAAGAAAGGGTGGCTGTAAAGGTGGTAGTCCTCATTGTGAGATCAAGCAGAGTGGATTTTCGGGATGGATCTGGGTGGCTGAACTTTGTACTGGCACTTGTCAATTGTCAACACGCTTGGTGCTCAATCGCTCGAGTCAACTTGAGTCCGATAGTCCTTAAATGTATAAGCTTCTTATATCCCCCAACACACAGGAATATGAAATTTATAAATACGTACAAAAGCTGCAACGTCGTGCCTGTTTCTCAATTTGGACCCATGCTGCACTCTCCAGGGATCATGAGTCCACACAGTTACATAAATCAACACCGTGCGAGCTTGCAGCACTTATTAGGTACAGTAAGATCGCGAAATCGAAAGGGGCAACTAAATGAGCGTAGATTAGATAGATATACAAACGAATTCCAAATGTGTGTGGTCACCCGATTATCCACTCTGGCTTTTCTGTTGCGTTTGGCCAATGACGTGAACGCTAAGACAGGACACTTGTGGACCAGGCACCCCACCGATATTTGAGATCCCGATTTGTGTCCCGTCGAACGAATGGGTTACCCGGAGGAAATCCAGCTGTGATCAGAGCTTCATTGCTGTTTCGCCAGTCAATGCCATTCCAACTCCTGTCCGCTTCAGACATGGCCTTCATTAAATCGTTGAAGACGTGAATTTGAGTCCCACAGTGGTGACAAGCGATCCGGTATATCTAATTGAATTGCGGCTCGCTCCGAAAGAACGTCAATATAATTTGCATTCAAGTTTGTCGCGGATGCCGAAGTCTTCCACATAATATTACGAAGTCATAGAGGCAGGAGTCCTGCCTACCGAACGCTCCACGACACGACTCTGTGTATCCCTTCATTTATCGGCAACTATATCAAACCCATTCCAGCTTGCGTCACATCTTGTGTGACGGAGAAGGGACGCGATGTTTACCTCACTCATCGACGTCGCGCGGGCCCCACATCAGGTTCCGAAGTAAGCTCCCCAATCCATCATGACCTAATGCTATGGCCCCGATCCCACCTACTAGATCGATTTTAACATAGAGAGGCCAAGGCACTATATATAATTGATGGGATTTCCACCTCTACGTTAAAACGAATGTCATCCTGGGAAACTCCCACCTTCCGTCCTTGGCCAGCTGGCTGGCCTTTCTCCCCCAAGTTGCCCGATCCCGATCCCCCATCGTTCGTTTTCGTTCGGCTCACTTATCTGCCTGCCACACTCTCTGCACGTCCACCTGGCTATGCACCAAGGCATTTGTTAGTGTTTCAGGCAGCACGGTTTTCACGTTAGGACCACTCATTTTTCTAGTGCTTCGGTGGAACGAAGGTTCTCCATACATTCCTTTCCTCTCCACCATGATCCAAATCCGGAACCTGTCAGTTGATTCAAGATGATAAGCGCCCTAAGCTTTTGCAGTCCGTTCTTATTTATTTCCGCATTTACATGCCAGCCCATGTTCTAATTCTCATATACGGTCTAATCGACACCTGTGCTGGAGTTAGGTAGGTTTGTCGTGTCCAAGATCACACAGTAAACGACCCTGGCTTTTATATCCAGAACCCATGCATATACTCATTGGCATGCACCCCCACTCGCCGACCACGAGAACACAATTGTGTTTCGTCACTTGGCTAGTTATTTGTTCCTGGCCGATGCACCCATTGATAAACAGCTTATGCTTCTAATACGGCACACATCGACACCGTATCTGCCACGAGATTGGCATCCCATCATGGCTTTGTTCCTTCCTCCGCGTAGGACCCGCATTTATCCCATATATTGGGTACTGGTGAAATATGTGTTAGAGAGTAACATCGGGGCGGCGTAAAGAGCGATCTCAGGGCCCCGGTTACTCTCGGTGGTTGTTGTCCTCAGTGCTTGCAGTAGCGCTGGCGCTGCTGGCTCTCAAGGATTCGCTGCAATGCGGCCACAAGAGTACTTCTCCACCCTGGATGATGAAGCGAGAGTAACTTGTCAAATTTAGCCCATTCCTTCCGACGATGATGGAATGCACCAGTCCATCGTTCCCACTAGCGACTTATCTATATATCCTGATGTAAATATATGCATGAATACTTGAATGCCGGCGATTCTGGAGACAACAACGCGAACCGCCACACAACTGACTAGCAGTAAAAAAATCCTGGACGGGTACAGACGTGTTACACGATTTGGCTAATATCAACAACGATGGGGGCTCTCATACGACCCTGAACCAAAAATCGCGTCCCATCCTTGCTAGCATGAGGAAAGTAGACGAAATCGATACTCCCTATCACTCGATCTCCATACCATTCCTCTGGCCCATCATGGGGCCCCATACTGGGAAGGATTGGATGATATTCGATTGGGAGAATGAGTTTCAATGTATTATCAAGTAATAATTTCAGTTTAGTGGTCCCAACCACCCCTTGACCGGGAGGGAAAAGTCCTGGCCGTCGTGAGAATAGTAGGCTTCTCTGAGACAGTGACTCCAGCCACGATTTATCTGAATTGATCTTCACCCTAGAGCCCCGCGTATGAGAGATACCATCCTCCGTGTCCTCAATGACCCCACTGGTGATGTATGGGCGGTAGGGTGTTGTTCCAGTAACAAAAGCTTTAAATTCCGATAGGTGATGACGAATAATGAACTCGCGTGACTCTGTCGACCAAATGAAAGCCTGGTTCTGATCACAAGCGAGAACGTATTGTGCTTCAGGAGACAATTCAAGGGATAGGTCGTAAGGGTGCCGAGGTGGAGCAGTAATAGGTATAGAGCCAGGAGAGGAAAGAAGGTGAACGGATGGCTCCCCCCAAACATACAAGATCGACACACTTTCGTACCAGTAGGGACCAAGATGCCGTGGGAGTCGAATGATGAATGTCCCATTATCCGCTGCTGCAATGACAGAGGGATAATGCCCGCTGGGGAGCGTACCAAGCTTCAGGGGCTGCGAGCCATGGTCGAAGATGAATATATTCCCTTCATTATCTTCGGTAGCGATCCGGTGCCTACCAGAGATAAACTCGATCCACACTGGGGGACTGTACGAGTCACATTGGAATCGAGTGATGGAATGCTGCTGATCAATGTCAACAACTTCGATGCTACCATATCCGAAGCCGAGTGCAATATGACAACCATCTTTGGAGATTGCTGCAGAAGTCACCACACCTCCACGAATATCAGAATCATTAAATTCAATCTTATAATTTTGCTGCCCCCTCGGAAACCTCCTTAGGCTTGTCTTCATAATCTTCCGAGCACTGAGTGCATGCTTGCTTAATGGAATCAGATGACCAGCGAACTCTCCGGAAATGCTGAAAATCCGAACAGGATCAGAGAGATGACCGTACAATTTGAAGAGTGGAGATGAGGTTGGAGTGAAGGGAAGCATGGAGCGAAAAATGTGCCAAGGATAAAACGGATGGAAGTCCTCAGGTGACCGAGGCAGAGGAAGGGTGAAATCCGCGCCATTCACATATTTGTTCGCTCTCTCGGCCTCTCTTAATAATCGAGTTGAATTATAATTCTTCTTCTAGAGTGAAATGATGTTACATCATCAGACTCCATAGAGTACAAACTCACGTTAGATTGGAGGAACTTATCCGGTAACATGAATTCACCCTGCGACAGTACAATGGACCAAAGTAAGTTGTAGGTAAGGAAATGATCAAACTCCTGCCGCAGTTCGTTGAGATCTTGCAAGAACAACTTTGAAGAATCCAAGTGGCTGAACAAGTATTTGGCAGCATATTGCATATGTTCAGGTTGCTCCTTCCACCGGAATCTCATCCACTTCTTCACATCTCCTAAAGGACGATCGATGGGCATTGCTGATCCCCTTAGGATTCGAAGGAGCGGTAACCCTAGGAAATACCCATCTTTATCGTCGATAAAGAAAGTATCGTCAAGTGTGCCACTGACTCTAGGCCTTATGACGAACTCCTTCGCTGTTGCATGGTAAAATTTGGGCCGCCCTTGTCCTGTTGAAGGAAGATCGACGATTGAACTGATGGGTCTCAAAGTTGCATCGACTTCATCCTCCGTAATCCCCAAAAGCTGCGCAACGGAATGCAAACTCAATGGCACCCGGGCCACAGCAATCGTCCCCACTACAAGGCGGTAATTCTCAATCACATCTGGACGAACAGGCAGTGATTCCAGCGTATACGCCCGCCTCAGTATTCGCAGGTACTCCGAATTGAGATCAGTCGGCGCATCCAAGAGATTTCGGAAGTAATCAAACTCCGATTTGAGGGTGGCACCTCGTTGAGTCCGAGCGCAGACTTCACGTATGCGCATCGAGGCGATAGCAGGCAATTCACGACATGCTGAAACGAAAGTATTGAGATCCTCCTCCGATGGTTTCCATGATGATTCCGAGACGCGGATCTTCAGCCCATCATCTACCATGCAGCGTATAGTGTGAAAAGTTTCGCTCTTATTGATCATATCCATGTTTTCGCACGGAATGACATCGCCCCAAATTCTATCTCGAGTCTGAGCCCGAATAACTTGCGTCTCTGGACGGGAGCTGACTAGTACGACAAATGCCGAGGGTAGATCTTCAAGCATTATCACGAGCCTCATCAGAGATTCAAGCGCCTCTTGGTTCCCGCACTCGTCCAGTCCATCCAAGATGATGGCGAAATGATCCTCCCCTGACGAAAACATGTCCTTGATGCCACCCATAGGTTCAATGATCAGACCCCTCATTTGTTCTTCTAGAGGTAGACTCTGGACCATGGTAAGAGCCGGGTTCTGAAGCTGCTTGACAAGCAGAATTTCGTAGTCTGCACTGAAGTGTGCAAGCTGGTATGCAAGAGCGGAGGGAAACATTTCGATAGAATCAAGGCCAGTGCCTTTTCGGTTCTTATCCCAAAAGAATGACGCGGCAAGAGCATGTCGCTTGTCCAGAGTGGATGCGATACTTTTGCATATCGCCGTTTTCCCGGTGCCAGGAGAACCTCGCAGCCATACAAATCGGTTCTCGGCATTCCTTAGATAATTCAATAAAGAACTCTGCATCCTGGCCCGCGTGTCTGGAAGGCACTCTGATTTACTCGTAACGAACTTGTACCCGGCAGGAACCTGGCCCAATTTTGAGAGTTCGGCTGAATAACGATGATAAATCTTATGCCCGAAACCATCCACGGCAACATACACTTTGAGTATGACTTTATTGCCTGGACGAGTGTCAAAACCGTGGCCTCAGTCTGCAGTACACATCTCGATCAGCCAATAATTAATGCTTAAGGTGCTGAACAACGAACCGAGAATGACGAAACAGCCTTATTTATGCATGCCTTTACATCGTTTATGCTCTGGGTGACTTGCTTTGATAAAAACACCCTCTTGAGGCGACTTTGATTCTGTAGTGACTTCATTTGCTCAATCTGCTCCTCAAGAACACTGTGGAAGGGGATGTTTAATGCAAATAACCGAGAAAGAGGCTGGGGAGCGTACGAGTGGAAATCTTTGATCAGATCTGTCAGTTGCGGAGGGATGCTCCCTGTCCACAGCTGTAGTGGTCGCAAAATTGTAATATAAGCATTTTGAACCTCGTTGTCTAGGCCTTTGATATCTTTGCGATTGTTATCCACTGACTATACGGATCGCCAGCGACATGTTAGTATTGATTGTAAAAGCCCGAACTTTAATCCGAACCTCATAGACTTGGAGTAATATCAGGAGCAGGTCAGGGATCTGACCAAGATACGGAATAGGGGTTAGTTTGAGACCAGCCGAAGCGACTTGGAGAATGGTCGCTGCACCGCTAATGAATGATTTCTTTATATCCCCACCCGCGCTGGCAGACGATGACACTGGTTTCGACAAGGAAGGCACATCAATGCCTATGCTTGCATCCTGTAGCCTTGCAGGAAAGCTCGTAAAACTGCTGTGAGCACTGTCTGTTCTTGGTGTTGGGCGAGGGTTGTCAGTACTCCCTGGAGAGGAAGGGAGGGATAGCGACGATTCGGGATCGGCAAGGGACGGGTGGACAGATGTAGTAGAGCCCGAAGCCCAGGAGGGGGATACGTTTGATCGATAAATATGATTGGGATCAGAACTTTCACTACTGCTGGGCGGTGCAGTCACGCTCCCAGAACGCACTTGTCGCTTTGGCTCCCTACGGCTGCGGGAGCCGGACTGCGAGGTCCGTGTGGTATTAGGAGGCCTGAGGCGAGATCTAATCGAGTTATCGGGTGAGTTGTGGTGACTTTTGTTATGATCCTCTATTGGGGCGCTGTCGACAAGGACCAGGGGAACCTCGGAGGAAGTTGATGCTTGTGATGGTGCCTGCAGATTATTCTCGGGGGCAGGGCGCTTCGTTTCGGGGTGTTGAGAAGGATCCAACACCTTTTTGTTGCGGGGCATTACAGTAGAGCAGTAGTAGAGGTAAAGATCGCTCAACAGGGCTCACAGCCTATATGTCAATTCTCAACTGAAGGCGATGGTGTGGCGATGTTATCATACTACGGAACCAACACTGTTATGTGTTACCCTGTTTGGCAAAGCATTATTTTGGGAGAACCAGCGCTTGTTTAGACCCCTACCCTTGGCGCTCGTGGGAGCAGCCTGAAGTTTTGCAGGTTAAATATCCAGAATAGAACAAACAAACAAACCAGCGCTTGTTTGCCGGCGTGCCGCTACACGGGTTTAGACCACAGACATCATGCAAAGGTCATTGCTTGGTGCTCATTAGCACTGGATATTGGAGGCCCCCATATACTCCCCCGAGGGGGTAGCTATCAAGGACATGATAAAGTCCTGCCGGGATTTAGCTGAGGGATAATCGAAACTTGTAAGTGCACCATGAAGCCAACAACATAAGCACGGGATAATGAGGCGGGGAAGAAGCATTCAGTCCTCTCACATGATATACTGTGAGCTCTAGAGTGGAGGCAAAAAGGGGATTTACTACAATGCCTACGATACGCACTCAATCAAGAGAGGAAGTGAAGCAGTGTTATATAGAAACATGATGAAAATTCATCAGCCTTGCACACGCGAATTCTGTTCCGCACAACGCAAGGACAAGGACAGCTGAGACAGGCATGTCGACTTTTCATTCAGTCGCTGGTCAATGGTCATTGTGAGAGACGGTCGCTTGCACACTTGCTTTCGTTCAAGACACTGACGGTCGAGGAAAAATGCGGTGGGACAAGTAGGTGGTGCGACGTGTGGCCATGAGCCCAACTTGAAGAAGGTGCAAAGGAAACCAGTACATAGAATTGTGCCATATCCGATCCTGTTGTGCTCCACGCGTGGTTTGAGACAAGTCATGACAACCAGCCCATTTGAACGAACTTCCAGAAAAGGAAAAGCAGTGGATGAAAGGATCGATGCGGTATTCCGCTGGAATACTCGTTCGATGAGCTGAGGCTTCCCCTTCAGTGTGCGGGCCACATCGTCAAGCAGCACGGCAACTGTATTTACATTCGTTGACCTCGGAGTCCCCAGGGCCCAACTTGCACAACCACTTGTACTGAACAAACGCCTTGCAAGCTCGGCCAACAACTTCAGCCATCGTAATGGCAACCGAACCAATTCCCAAAGTAGCCCTCTTGCAAATATAGTTCCAAGATTCAGAATATAGGACGAAATGGAGGACTGGCGAGTTTATCGCTCAGTCCCGTTGTACATGAACTAGAGCAGATTGGACAATAATCGCCTAGCGAGTTTATCGCTGGTGTACAAGTATTTAATACATCCTTGTGCGAGATAGACATGAGATAACCAACTCACCTCAGTCCCGTTGTACGTGAACTGAGGGAAGGCTGGGTTGTCAAAAAATTAGGTTTTTATAGTCAGGCGCCATGAATGCGCACTGACTTTGGCACCAATGTCACCAAGAAAGGTAATAGGACGCCACATGACTCAATATCACCAAACGTGAGTTGGTTCATAATGTACGCCATAATACCAAGAATTCTAACACAGAAGACATATTATCGTTCGAGAGTAACGGACTCTTCGACTAGGTGGAGGACGTCCAATGCATGCTGAAATTTGGTTGGCTCATGTACGCACAAAGAATGAATAGAAGACAACCCAAATATAACGTTCATCCCCTACATTCGTGACCGATGGAAAGGGATTCCATGTACGGGAGCTGTGATGAATAATCGGATGGAGTAGATAGAACCAAGACGCAGGCCATTTAGACGCAAATGTAGTCCAACACGGAGAACATTATCGATGCAACACGTTGCCTTACTTAGAAATTTGCGGAGAGAATCAGGAGCGTTAGGGCGACTTGATCCTAATTGTGGTATTGAAAAACGACAGCGTCGTCAACCCAGATGCTCCAACCTGGGCAAGCAGGCCAAACATTACGTCGTTGACGAGTTTCCAAAAATCGGTTGATCGTAATATAAGTAGGAATGGGGAAGGAAAATAAAAGTGGTCAGTCACGATGCGGAAGTGGAGTTGGGACCAAGACATAGACATACCGTTCCAAGCACACCGGTTTGAAGCACAAACTTCGTCACTCGATTTTTCGTCGTGGTCAAATCGACAGGTAACCTCAACGTCACGTTGAATCCCTTCGGGCTACCAATGTTCCCCAAGTTCGCCTCCCACAAATCTATACCACCAATATCGATCCCCAATTTTCCCTTCCCGCCAGGGCCACTACCAAGGTTACGCAAACCCAATCCGCCATCTGCACCAGGAACGGGGGCCACAGCCGGGATGGGAAGTCCCAAGAACGACACCCCTAAGCCGGGGAAGGGCGCTATCCCGAAGAGGGCGTAGAATTGATGGTTGCTTTGGATGAAAGGGGATGTGTGGAATGTCACGATGAACTTTTCACCAGGGTGGAGAATTTTCGTTGGGGCAGAAATGCTGTCGATTAGGGCGCAAGTTGGAGAGATTAGGAGGAGGAAGATGAGGGAGAGGGCAGATGTGAGGCAGTGGATCTTCATTGTATGACTATCTTGGTGAAGCGAGGCGAGCGGATTGGATAAGTCCCTACTGGGATTGAATGTCAAGTGAGCAGTGAGAATAGATCCAGAAGCAGCTTTGGGTCGCCGAACCTAAAGGACGCACCAGATAGTGTCAGCGCTTGTCAACTATGAACACGCTCGGCGCTCAAGCACTCCCGTCAACCTGGAGATGAACGGCTTAGTACCTGAAAATACAAACTCTTTATATCCCACGATGCACATGCATCTGATATTTAGGTAAAAGCTGCAATGTGGTGCCTGCTTCTTGTTCTGGACCTGCACTGCGCTCTCCAGGAATCATGAGATCCACACAGTTGCGTATCAAGACCACGAATGGGGGAACTAACGTGATTACAACACAAGTGGAAGTAGATAGATGCACAAATGAGTTCCGAGTGATTATCCGCTCTCGGCACCCACCGTGATACCGAGATCAAACTAGTGTTCTGGGTGAGAAAGTCGAACGAAGGAGTTCTACCGAGCAAAGAGTAGAATAACGTTGAACGCGCAAATGTGAGGCAACGCATTGTGGGAGCGAATTCACTGTGTTCATCGCTGCCTCACTGAAGCCAAAAGACATTCCCACCCCTGCCCGCTTCAGACAAATGAGGAGTGCGCTCATTAAGTCGTTGAAGACGTAAAATTGAGAACCACGCTATGTCAGAGTAGTTACCATTTGAGAACAAAACCACATAACAGATTGTATCAGAGAGAACGTAAACACAATTTGCATTGGCCCGTAGCAGCTGGACAGCGAACGTAGATTGACGTGATGCGAACAAGCCGAATACAACCCGATCTGAGACAATGCCGGTTGGGCCGGGTGGAGCCCCCGTCCGCAGAGCATGCTCGTTCGCACCGATGACAGCACCCAGAAACCCTGGCTCTGTCACTCTACACCTCCCTGGTTCCATTATTCTTGTTGCATAGCATTATCGCTAAGGACGATCCTGTAGCACTGGAACCCCGTGCAGGGTCTACGAGTGAAGCTAGGGAACTTGGCTTATGGTGGTGCAGATCAGGAGCCACACAATAAACAATAGCCAGTCAACGTGTTCGGCACACCAGTATCATCGATATAAGGAGCTAGCTTATAGCGGAAACTAACAACCAGGCATGGCTGCACGCGGAGCCTCCCATAAATGGGGTACTTTCGGCTGCGCCGAAGCCACATGCGAGCTGACAGCCTGTGTAAAGTCACAGTGCATACTGGAAGTTCGTACCCAGAAATAAATGGTTCGGCGACGGAGCCACGATCGATCGGATCAGGATGTACAACATAAGGAAAGACCCCAGCATGGCGATCGAACGTGCCAGTGTGCACACTTGTAACTAGCACTTGTACGTACCAACTTATCCTATAGGGGTTGAGTGACGAATGAAACTGGGCCTGAGGCTGTGCTGAGCAATACATAATACTGCAGCCATCTCGGGGAAGGCTCAGGACGGGTGTGAGGCACAGCGGTCGAGTGTGAGCTGTCTTTGCACACAGTGGCGCCCTCACCTCGCATTTGACTCTCAACGCTCAAAATTGTCGGCATAATGTCCGTCCACAACAACGCCTCGCTCCTCTTTTCCTCCTTATGAGTATCAACTTTAGCCATCATAGGCCACATCCAGCATTGAACGATTTGGTGCCTTATGCTGTTGGCGGAGTTGTTAAATGCATAGCTCAGTCTGGAGATAAGCCTAGGCAACCAGCTTAGTAGATGACGTGACGCGTCACTCGATAGTTAGGCACAGCGCTGAGAAATGTCTGTGCTGCATAACAGATTATTGGCTGGCCCGCGATAGATGATTGCGTACACAACTGAAAATACTTCCACGCAGTAAACTGGCTGGCCTAGCCTCATACTAGCCCTACCAGCTTTTTGTCTTATATCATGCCATGCGTATATGGAGAACGCTGGGCGAAATATATACTGTAGTATGTTTATGCGTCAGCACCGAATTGGCAGTGTTGTCCTTGGATAGCAGCCTCCGTCATCAATTGTGCATTCATTCTCTCCCTTGCGGATACCTCTTTGGGCGCACCAAATGTGCACTCAATCGTACGTGGCTGACCTGCCTGCTCTATCTTACCTACGATCCATTTCAGCTTCCCCTTCTCATGATGGCCGAGCTAAACGCAACATTGCTCCCAGATCCGTTTTAGCCACTCTTCAATATCCCGATCTCGCGTCTTGCCAGAGTATTCTCATGATCAATGAGAGACTTTATCGCGGAAGGCAGCACTAGTATGAAACGGCCCACTATGTCGCTACTTGCACGCCGAAAAGAAGCATGAATGGGTCGTGATCCACCCGTTTCACCTGCCCCTTAAGCGGGTTCTTATGTCAATCCAACGTTATGTGTCAGATGAACTACGACCTGAGTTGGAGCGACCGATTCATTTGCACGAACAATACAATCGTGTTCCATCATTTGCCAATCGTTTGTTCCTATCCGATGCATTCATTGACAAACAGCCCATGATTCTAATACGGCACATCTCGGCACCATCTCTACCACGAGATTAGCATCCTGTCATGCCTTTGTTTCTTCCTCCACCCTCCAAAGAGTAGGACTCGTGATTTTCATTTTTCCAGCTTACCCCATATATCGAGTACTAGTGAAATATATGCTAGGGTGCAATATCGAGGCGGCGTAAAAAGCAATCTTCAGACCACGGTTGCTCTCATTGCCGTCGCAAGGCGATTGTCGTCAACGATTGCAGTAACATAACACTCGACAAGGGTGACGGTCTCTCAGATTTAATGTGGTGCTGCTGAGCCTCAAAGGCTCGCTGCAATGCAACCAGAAGATTACTTCTCCACCCTGGGATGATCATGCAAGAGTGATTTGTTGATTTAGCCTAATGTTCCTCCCGACGATGTTGAAATGTGCCGGTCCATCGTCCTCATTGGTGTACGCAGAGACTATCTATATGATGTGCATATTTTAACGCCATGTGAAGACTGCTATCCCTGAAATAACTACAATGCAAACTGTCGCCCAGCTGACTAACAACAACAAAGAGAGCAGGCCATGGACATGTAGAGGTGCTAAATTTGGCTAATATCAACAACAATTGGTGCTTTCATACGGCCCTGAGCCAAGAATCGTGTCCCGTCCTTGTTAACACGGGGAAAATAGATGAAACCTTCATCCCCTATCACTCGATCTCCATACCATTCTTCTGGCTCATCAAGGGGCCCCATAATAAGAGTGATTGGACGAAATTGGATTGGGAGAATGAGTTTCAATGTATTGTTGAGCAATAACTTCAGTTTAGGGATGCTGACCAGCTCTCGACGAACTTTACTGCGACGGAGACGTCTTTTCACTGGTGAAGCTCTTCGCTGTCGTGAGAGTTGTATGCTTCTATGAGACAGCGACTCCAGCCACGATGTATCTGAATCAAACTTCACCCCAGAGACCCTTGTATGAGGGATAGCATCCTCCAAGTCCTCAATGGCCCCACTGGTAATGTATGGGTGGTGTGACGTTATGCCTGTAACAAAAGCTCCAAAATCTGGTAGGTGATGATGAATAATGAACTCGCGTGACGCCGTCAACCAAATGAAAGCCTGGTTCTGATCACAAGCAATAACGTATCGTGCTCCAGGAGACAATCCAAGCGAGAGGCCGTAAGAGTGGCGAGTAGGGGTAGGAGTAGGGGTAGGAGTAGGGATAGAACCAGGAGAGGAAAGAAGGTGGATGGATGGCTCCCCTGAAACATACAGGATCGACACGCCTTCATACCAGTTGGGATCGTGATGCCGCGGCAGTCGTACAATGAATGATCCATTGTCCGCTGCCACAGTGACAGAGGGAGAATGCCCACTGGGGAGCGTACCAAGTTTCAGAGGCTGTGAACCATCGTTGAAGATGAATACATTCCCTTCATTATCTTCGGTAGCGATCCGGTGCCTACCGGAGATAAACTCGATCCACACTGGGGGACTGCATGAGCCACTTTGGAATCGAGTGATGGAATGCTGTTGATCAATGTCAACAACTTCGACGTCACCACTTCCAAAGCCGAGTGCAATATGGTGGCCATCTTTGGAGATTGCTGCAGAAGTCACTGTGCCATCACGAATATCAGGATCAAGAAATTCAGCCTTGTAACCCTGCTGCTCCTTTGGCATCCTGCTTAGCTTTGCCTCCATAATCTTCCGAGTATTGAGTGCCTGCTCACTTAATGGAATCAGATGACCAGCAAACTCTCCGGAAATGCTAAAAATCTGAACAGGATCAGAGAGATGACTGTACAATTTGAAGAGTGGAGATGAGGTTGGAGTGAAGGGAAGCATGGAGCGAAAAATGTGCCAAGGATAAATCAAACAGACAACTTTAGTTTTAAAGCGGCTGGGGTGGACAGTTATGGGACCTGGGGTTTCCTGCTCACGATATTGGTCAACTACATATTTGTTGGCTTTCTCGGCTTCTCTTAATAGTTGAGTTGAATTGTAATCATTGTTCTAGAGTGAAATGATGTCACAACATTCAAATTATCAGAATCCATTAAGTATAAACTCACGTTAGAAGGAAGGAACTTATCCAGCAACTTGAATTCACCCTGCGACAGTACGATGAACCAAAGTAAGTTATGGGTAAGGAAGTGATCAAACTCCTGCCGCAGTTCATTGGGGACTCGCGAGAACAGCTTTGAAGAATCCAAGTGGCTGAACAAGTATTTGACAGCATATCGGATATGTTCGGGTTGCCCCTTCCACTGAAATTTCATCCACATCTTCTCATCCCCCAAAGGACGATCAGTGGGCATCACTAATCCCCTTAGAAATCGAAGGAGCGGTAACCCCAGGAAATACCCATCCTTATCATCAATAAAGAAAGGATGGTCATGCATGCCACTGATTGGATGCTCCATGATGAACTCCTTCGCTGTTGCATGATAAAATTTGGGCAGCCCTTCTCCCGTTGAAGGAAGATCAATGATTGAACTGATTGGTCTCAAGGTTGCATAGACTTCGTCCTCCGTAATTCCCAAAAGCTGCGCAATGGAATTCAAACTCAACGGTTCCTGCGCCACAGCAATCATCCCCACTACAAGGCGGTAATTTCTAATCACGGCTGGACGGAAAGGCAGTGATTCCAGCATATAGGATCGCCACAGAATTCGCAGGTACTCCGAATTGAGGTCAGTTGGTGCATCCATGAGATCTCGGAAGTAATCGAACTCCGATTTGAGGGTGGCACCTCGTTTAGTCCGAGCGCAGACTTCACGTATGCGCATCGAGGCCATAACAGGTAATTCGCGACATGATGAAGCGAAAGCATAAAGATCTTCTCCTGAGGGTTTCCACAGTGATTCGGAGATGCAGTCCTTAAGCCCCTCATCTACCATGCGGCATATTGTGTGAAAAGTCTCACTCTTGTTGATCATATCGGTGTCTTCGCATGGAATGACGTAACCCATCGATTGAGCTCGAGCCCAAGCCCGAACAACCTGCGACTCCGGTCGACAGCTGACCAACAAGGCAAATGAGGAGGGTAGGTCGTGAAGCTGTAGCACGAGCTTCATTAAAGTATCAAATGCCTCAGGACTCCCACACTCGTCTAGGCCGTCTAGAATGATAATGAAGCGATCCTTGCCAGAAGGCAGCATTTCTATCACATCGCGCATTGGTTCGATGATCAGAGCGCTCATTTGTTTATCCAGTGGAAGGCTCTTGACAAAGACTAAAGATGGCTGCCGGAGGTGTCTGACAAGCGACATCTTGAAGTCCTCATTGAAGACTGCAAGTTGGTGTGCAAGGGTGGAAGGGAAGTGTTCAATGGAATCGAGGCCCGTTCCTGCTTGGTTCTTATCCCAGAAGAACGACGCCGCCAGGGCAGCCTGGCCGTTGAGGGCGGATGCAACGCTCATACAAATTGCTGTCTTCCCAGTACCGGGAGGTCCACGCAACCAGATGAAGCGATTCTCGGGAACCTTGAGATGCTCCAGCAGCGATGTTTGTATCTGGACCCGCGTCCGTTCGAGACATTCCGACTTGCTCTTGACATACATGTATTCGGCAGCGACTGGCCCGAGTCTCGAAAGTTCATCTGAAGGTTGGGTTCAATAGGAAGTTCAACTGCATGTACAGGAAACATACACTGCACAGACAAACGTTCAGTACGAAGTAGAATTAAAGTTGATATTCTTAGCTGGAGAGAACGGTCAAGTTCCAGACACCCCAATAACACGAAAGTTGACAAACCTGGGAACGAGAAATAGCATCCTTCAGGCAGCCCTTCATGCCACTTATTTGCTGTGTTATGTCAGGCGCTTGGATAGCCCTCGTTGGCAGATTTTTTCGCTGGGTTAATTCAATTTCCTCTACTTGTTTCTTCAAGGCTCTACATGAACACATTAGGATGGGCAAATAAGAATACGGCGAGAAACTTACGCATGGAAATCCCGTGTTAGATTTTCCAGTTCGGGGGGAACCTCGCCGGTCCATTCCCGGAGGGGCTGAAACACCGAGTCGTGCACTTGCTGGATCACAACGTACAACTTTTCCATGTCTTCAGCGTTTCCGGTGACATTCTGGGTTGCCGTACAATATCAGAGGCATTGGTGCGATCACCAAAGGAGCTCAGGATGCCGTGCACACCTCGTAGGTATTTATCCACGCCAGGAGCGTGTTCGGAATCTGATCGAGATTGGGTATAGGCGCGAGTTTAAGAGCGGTGGAAGAAGTTTGAAGGAGAAGTTTAATAGCATTCATGATGGTCTTCTTCTGGTCACCATGTGAGCGGGTTCCCGCCGCCGGTGCTGCTGGACCTGGTAAAGACTCCACGCCCAATGAACAGCCATCGCTATCGCCTGTGGACCCCGGCTGCTCGAAGGACGCAGCACTCGTTTCGTAGATGGCTGGTGGGTTGGACCTTGAAGGGGTATTATTATTAACATTCTCTTTAGAACGGAGGGAAGAGAGCGATAGCCGCGAGTTATCAGGAGACGGCTGCAGGGACGCGCTCCCCGTGGACTGTTTGGGGCGTCGTGTAGTTGATTTGTCGTTGGGACTGGGACTTCGCCATCTTAGGACCCATCGAGCAAATCGATCTCGGAGAGATGAGGGCGGCGGCATAGACATGGATGCCAGAGAAACAGCACGAGACCCAACCTCTCCATCCGTTACCTGGGGACTGGTCATAACAATCCTGGGCAAGGACCTCGAGGTGTGCAATGGTTGCGGATCAGGGAGAGAGGGCTCAGGAGGGGACTTTGCATTCGAACGCCAAGAGGAAAATAGCAACAGGTTTTTGCGACGCATCACAGTAGTGTGGAAGACAGCACAGGAGCGGGGGAATGAAGCCGCGGAGAGGCGCTCAATCCTCTCACACGATGTTCAAACGACAAGTAATTTGAAATATGCACCATGCACACTCAATGGGGAAGAGCAAACGAAGCAGGAGTGTTGTTATTGTCTTTTCTGGAACCATGAAACTGCGCTCCGCAGGGCGCCAGGAACAACCCATCCAATCGCTGGCCGTTGAAAAAGTTATGAGACCGTGACATTGTATGTTTGTGAGAGATACAAACAATCGAGGGTGGGACAATTAGATGGAGGTTCGATGTGTGATGTGTGGGTGCGGTTTTGCCAGTGAGACAAGCTTGATCAGAAAAACTATAAGCGGGGTACATATGCCGCTGAACCACTCGGCGGACGAGGCTTCTCCTGCGCATAACGATTTGAGCCCTGAGGCTGTGCTCATCCAGAGAGCAATACATCAACCATGGGTTCTGGGATGGTTCAGGACAGGGATCAGGTACAGCGGTCGAGTGTAAGCTATCTTTGCCTAACCCAGTGGCACCCTCACCTCGCGTTTGAGCCTCAACGCTCAAAGTCGTCAACATGGGTTCTTCCACAACAACTTCCTCGCATCGCTCCTCTTCCTCCTCAATTTGGCTTTCGCAATAACGATTTGGTAGAACCTGCGGAGCTCTTGAATGCATAGCTCGATCTGGGGATACACCTGGCAACCAGCATAGATCTTACGCATCACTCGACAGTTGGGTAGAGCACTGGAAATTGTCTGTGCCAGATTATTGGCTGACCTGGGCCTACTAGCTGTTTATCTGTATAATTCTTCACGCCATGCACGCATGTGCTGTGAGGGGAACACTGGGATGACATACCGTATCTATGTATGCATGCGTATGCGTCGGCGCCGAATTGGCAGCGTTGTCTTTGGAGAGCAATTCCCGTCATCAATTGCGCATGCATTCTCTCCCCTTTGGATACTCCTCTGGGCGCACCACATGTGCACTCAACTGTACGCTGCCTGCCTACTCTATCTTACCTACGATCTGCTACAGCTTCCCCTTCTCATGATGACCGAGCCAAACGCAACATTGCTCCCAGATCCGTTTCAGCCACCATCCAATATTCTGATTTTGCGTCCCGATAGGATGATTAATGAGGGACTTTATCGCCGAAGGCGGCACTAACATGAAATAGCCTACTTGCGCGCCGAAAGGAACCATGAATGGGTCGTTGTTATCCGCCCCGCTGCACCGGTGACCTCCTTGAGCGAGTTCTTATACTTATGTTGATCGTACGTTATGTGTTGGATGAACTGTGACCTGACACTTACGCTGGAGCACCCGATTCACAGCGGTAAACCATTGTACTTGTAATCCGCCCCCATTTTTTCCCTCAGGTTCGGCGGTAGGACGTCCAAAGCCTGCCCGAGATCTTGTTCGCGGTCCCATGTACAGACAAACAAAAAATGAATAAAAGAACAACCGATCCGATGGAGGGGAATTTACATAATGTACAGGAGCTGTGATATATACATAATCGGATGTTGTATGTAGAATGGGGCTGGTAAGTAGAACCAAAAACAAGCACTTGGGCAATTTACATATAGTTTCAGGGAAACGCCGTCCATGAAACGCGTTAGGGTAGGCATCAGGAGGGGGGTTAGGGAGCCTTGATGTTGATCGTAGTGTTGAAGAAGGACAGCGTCGTCAACCCAGATGCTCCCACCTAGGTAAGCCGATCCAAAAAAAAAAAAAGGTCGTCGACGAGTTTTCAGGAATCGATCGTTTAGATTTGGAAAGGAGTGAAAGGGATCAAAATCAAAAGTGGTTAGTCACAATTGCGCGAAAAAGACCAAGGGGGGAGGGGGGGCATACCATTCCTAGCACACCGGTTTGAAGCACAACCTTCTTCACTCGATTTTTCGTACCCAAAATCAAATCCACAGGTAACCTCAACGTCACGTTGAATCCCTTCAAACTTCCAACGTTCCCTAAATTCGCCTCCCAAAGATCTATACCACCAATATCGATCCCCGCTTTCCCCTTCCCGCTAGGTCCACTGAAAAGGTTACGCAACCCTAATCCGCCATCTGCACCAGGAACGGGAGCTACGGCTGGAATGGGAAGTCCTAAGAAGGATACGGCAGGGGCTGGGAAGGACCCTATACCGAAGAGAGCGTAGAATTGATGGTTGCTTTGGATGTAAGGGGTTGTGTGGAATGTCACGATGAACCTTTCACCTGGGTGGAGAACTTTTGTGGGTGCGGAGATGCTGTGGATTAGGCTTTGAGCTTGGGAGATGAGAAGGAGAAAGATGAGGGAAAAGGTGGTGGTCGTAAAGGTGCTAGTCCTCATTGTGTGATTTTATCCTGGCGAAGCGGAGAGTGGGATGGGTTTGGAAAGTATCAGTTTGGGGTGGCTGAATCGATCTAAAGAACTCCGTACCAGTCAATTATTCGTCGGCAACTTGTCGATTATCAACACGCTTGGCGCTCAGTCAACTTGAAGACGATGAACGTTCTAACTATAGTGTAAGCCTTTTATATTCCACATAAATTTGAAAATAGATATACGTACAAAAGCTGCAACGTCGTCCGCGTTACCTTTGCTTCTCAAATAATCTGGACCCGCGGGTACGACTCCTGCCAGGAATCATGAGATCCACACAGTTACATAAAATCAAGGCTTAAATTAGGCAGCACGCAACAAACGAGACCCAACGCTCTGGGGCAAGTGGCCGATGATGTAAATGCTAGTAGTGGATTGCTCAGATCAGGCACACCAGAAGATCAGATTTGTGTTCTGGGCGAGAGCCGTCGAGATCTACCGGCTGCGAAGAGTGAAGCCAATTGGACATGCGAATGTGAAGGCAAACCCATGCACTGCCGGAGGAACCTCAAGGGCTTCATCGCTGCTTCACCCAAAAGCCAAATTAATGCCATTCCCCAACCCTGTCCGCTTCAGCCATGCATGGCCTTCATTAAGTCGTTGAAGACGTAAACTTAGAGAGAGGTAACAACAAGCACACATCTCCATTTGAGTGCAAAACCACATGAGCAACGATCCTGATTATACCGTCCAGTGATGGGATAGTATGTAATTCAATCGGCAGATAGGCACCGATCAGTAACTCCGAGAAAACGTAAAAATAACAGTTTTGCAATATTGAATGTTTGTCCACAAGCGCTTATCGGTTGCACCGATCTCGATCTAAGAACAATGCCGGTGGGGCTCCACGTCCGAACGTCCGCCCGGAGAGAAGCATGGCTCCTAATTTGCATCGATAACAGTGGATTGCGAATGCAAGTGACTACACCCCCTAAACCCGGTCAGAAGCCCTGTAACTCTACAGTACTTCCCTATAGTTGGACCAGGGGCCTTCGCTTATCATAGTAAGCGTAGTAGTGGCTATGGGAACTCTATACAGAGCTCATTCCTGTTGCGTAGCATTCTTGCTAAGACTAGAACCCCGTGGCAACAGCAGGGTCGACGATCCCAAGGGCCATCACGACTAAGGGTCACTCCTGCTCCAGGGAGCTTTGACTTTTGGTAATGAATGAAGATCAGGCGTCATAACAGCAGACAGATGATAACGCGTTTCATGGCGCCACGGTCGTGCGAAAATGGAGTACACAAGCTCGCTGTGGCGGAAACTGCCAGGGAACTGCACCGCCATGGGTGCACATGGAGCCCTCCTTCGTAAGTTCAATTCGGATCCCAGGTGCACGTGGATGACCGATGTATAATGACGAGATAAATACTTATATCTGATCTCAGTGCAGCGGGGCGACCGCGCCAGCCGTTCACTTTAATTGAGACGCCGCTGTGATTTAATTTGGGACGTACATAACTAGCTTGCCACTTGGCTGTACGTGCCAACTTGTTCCCCAGGGGTACATACGATCACTTGACATGCCAGTGTGCGCGCCTGGGCTGAAACCCTTGGGTAAAATCACCTCTGTCTATATATATGTGAAGCCTAGAATATTACCGCCACAAAGTGGCTACTGAGCGCCTGTGCTCACTCACGTACGTCGGGAGTGATGGTGGCGGCCCGCGGGTTTTGTGGGCGGGATTTGATCTACGTAAAAGTGAAGGAAGCGATACGTGCTTTAAGGAATGGGTATAAAAGTTGCTCTGGGTTACAATAATCAAGGTGCAAGTCTTTTACTCAGTCGCGCGCATCTCACTTCGCATTTGAGTTCTCAATGCTCAACATGAAGCTGTTTTCCCATAACAACAACAACAACAACAACCTTTTCTCTCTCCTTACGAGTGTCAATTCAGCTTTCAGGTACCCTCATAACCGATATCCAAGTGCCTACGAACATCCCCCATGCACCCCGACCACATTGAGTTCACTGTGACGTTCTTCACCGAGATCGGCTTCCTCCAAAGTACTCAGCACTATACTACTTTATTTTTACATCCCGGAACGACCCCCCCCCCAGGTTTGGCTCAAAATGTGGGTGATTTCGTCTTGACGAGTTAGTCCTTAAAGGCGATTTGGTCGAGGGGGCCGGTGAACATTCCGTCTATTAAACTAGTGAAAAGGGGTGTTAGTAATTGAGAATACCAGCCGCATATATATATATATAGAGAGAGCCTCCTAACATCTTAGTAGACCTTAAGCTTCTGGCCAAAAACCAGTAATGTACTGCAAAACTGAGAAGCATTGTTGACCCAGAAGCGTGAAATTTACTAATGTTTTTATAGTAACGATAACTTGCGTTTTGGCGACGCTACGATCGAAGGTATATAGACGATGAGATAGATCTGAGCTAGCATGCATGCATGGATGGCGAACGCCGGACTGTACCAACAATGTTGCACGCTACTACACAGCTATAAATCACGTACGAGCTTGTCCCCACAAGAGGCTTGGACTAGTGCGCGCAGCATGAAGCCTTGAATAGCACCGAAAAAGCCAGCTATTGAAGACGAAATGAAAAGTCAGATGATCCGCTCGGAATCCGGGAGCAATACTAGAACAGCTTCAGCGTCCAGCCTTGGGTTCTTGGATGAGACAAAGGAACCCCCCCCCCCCTGGTGAGAGAAGATGTAGGAGGTATAAGAGAGAGTCGTGCAAGCGCTCAAGTGTGCAGGGACATCTAACCCCCACGTTAATTCGAGTCCGAAAAAGTCGATCGTCAACATGAAGTTCTTCCACAACAACTTCAAGTTCACCTCTCTCTTCCTTTTCTTCCTCCTCACAAGTATCAACTTTTCGACCGTCTCCGCCATCATAAGCGGTATCAAAGTACCCACCAACGTCCTCCGACCCGGTCACAAATTCACCGTGACGTTCTTCACGAACTTACACATCATCAATAACGCTCAGTATTACGTTATATTCGGATTGGAACCCGGAACGACTCCACGTTCGAACGTGGGCGAATTCGTCTTGACGAGTCCTCAGAGCGATTTGGTCGAAGGGGGACATTCCGTGTCGGGATTTGGAAATTTTACGATAGACGTCCGATTACCTCGTAACTTTCAGATCACTGGACCTGGGAAGAAGCAACAGTATGTGTTATCAGCGGCTGTGCTCCAGACGGTGAGTTTTTGTGATTTTGGGTTGAAGATCTATCCAATTGTCTTATTTTTTTGTTTTTAAAGGCTGGAATAGTGAATGGCGCAGATGTCATAAGCTTCAATGGAATCGTCACCATCGCCAGGCACTAGGTCGAGGAGGCCGTAACGATGAAAGCCATCGCTGTTCATGAGAGAGAGATGATGATGATGATGATAATCTGGAATCACATTCGAAGCGCCCAACGAGTTTTTTGTTTTTTGTTTTTTACCAGCCGGGCTTGTGGGAGCATTTGTATTGACTGATTCTCATGAAATGAATGAGTTAGTACGCCTGATCAGAAGAACACCAGCCGCAGAATAGATCTGAGTCTCCTAATTAACGAAGGCAATGTATGCCTTCCGGTGCACATATGTAAACCCCTAAGTAAACAAAGCTGCCGAACCGTGGGTGGGTTCACTATATAACCGGATCTAAGAGATTGCCGGTTAGGCCGAGTCCCCCAGAAGGAAGATGTTCCTTCGCGTCAATGGTGCATGTGACAGTGGGATTGCGCAACACCCAGAAGCCTTATATAGCTTTTCAAGACGCGGACGGTGCTCTGCACTAGAATCCGTGACAACAGCAGGGTTTGACTGTCACTGAGGGTCACTCTTATATACGAAGCTTGGGTTGATGGTGATGCAAATCAGGAATCATGCAGGTAATGGACGAGATCCTCTGACGAAGCCATGTGCGGCCACTAGAACGAGGATGAAAATAGATCTCAGCATAGCCGATCGAACGTGCGCCAGTTGTCGCACCCACTCTTGCGCATGCGCTTTTTAGATGTGAGACGCTGAGACGTAATATCAGCACTGGTACTATGTAGTTGTGGCTTTGTACGTTTATCAGGGGGTTGCATGATCACTTGGCGTTTTTCGTGCAACCAAAAATAGCAATTCAATACAAATGAACAACTGAACTCATGCAAAATGATGCAATATGTATTCCGCTCTCAAGCCGGGAGCAACAACTGCAAGCAACCAACGCGTCAGTCATGAGGTTCCGTGGGGTTAAGATTGTACGTAAATACACACGTACTGTGGAGGGGTATAAGGGCCAAAAGTGTGAACTCTCTTCCATGGCTTGCTTCACCAGCTCCCCCACGCCGTAAAGTCATCCAGTCAACATGAAGTTCTTCCACAACAACAACATCCTCGCCTCCCTCCTCTTCCTTCTTATCAGTATCAACTCCGCCTTTGCCATCATAACTCACATCCAAGTACCTTCCATCCTCCTTCGTCCCGGCCACAAATTCACAGTCAAGTTCTTCACCGAGAACCATATCATTCAGAATGCCCAGTACTACGTTATTTTCGGATTGCAACCGGGAACGACACCACCACCTGGCTCGAATGTGGGTGAATTCGTCTTGACGAGTCCTCAGGGCGATTTGGTCGAAGGTCATCACTCCGAGACTGGGCATGGAAGTTTCACCGTGGACGTCACGTTGCCCAAAAATTTCCCCGTTACTGGGAAGACGGAGAAGTTTGTGTTAACGGCGGCTGTGTTCCAAACTGTGAGTTTTTTTTTTTGGGTGTTTATGTGACGATCGAACCGATGTTGAATGATTTTTTTCTTTCTTTTTTTGTGGCATAAGGCTGGAGCGTTGAATGGAGCAGGAGTGATCAAGTTCGATGGAATTGTCACCATCGCTTCTCATTGAGTCGATCGAAGTTCTATCTGATGGAGGCGGGGCTGTCGACGGGAGAGAGAATTTGAACGATCTGAGCGCCGAAAGAGTTTTTACTTAAATACTTAAATATCATGTCACTGTAAGCCTCATCGAACTAGCGGAAAATGGAGTTATGTAGTACGGTAAGAAATTGAGAAGACCCTTCCCGACCCAATCAACGAAGATTTCTGGCCGCATCGAAGCTCAACTGCAAACCGAACCAGAATACATACCGCCGAGTTATAAGAAGTTCGGGCTCAGAAGCGATCTGTAAATCTTTCAAACCTGGACGTGTACATGCATCAATGAGTTCACAAATATGCGATTAGTACCCACGCTGACCTTTACAGCATGGGGGACAAAAAGGGCGCGCGCTTAATTAATCGGAGCCGGGGAATCCAAAAAGCGGCGATTATGTAAGCAACTCACTTGTTTTTTCGTTGTTGTACAGCTTGGCGCAGTTGAAACGCTGAGACGTAATATGAATACATAGCTGAAAGTGGGTATTGAATACGAACTGACTTTGGTCTGTCGCCATCGTAATCCCGCTCCAAACTCGGAAATTGCACCATGTAATATTGTGGGGATTGTAGGCAGGTTACCGGCCTTTTATTACATAGAACAGGACCGTACGTAAAGTGAAGGGGGGCCAACACGTGTTGTGGGGAAGGTAGGTATAAAGAGCTTGCTGAGAAGGTGTGTATGATTCGTTCTTCGCTCGACCTCGCCCTATTGCACGCACCCCCCGTTGTTCGAGTCTCAAAGTACAGAGAGTACTGGTTCAACATGAACAAGTTCTTCGCCTCACTCTTCTTCCTCCTCCTCCTCAGTATCAACTCGGCCTTTGCTATCATAGGCAGCATCGAAGCACCCAAGAACATCCTCCGCCCAGGCCATACGTTCACCGTGACGTTCCTAACCCACCCGCACATCATCCAAAACGCTCAGTATTACGTTATTTTTGGATTACAACCTGGAATCGTTCCACCTCCTGGTTCGAACGTGGGCGAGATCGTCTTGACGAGTGCTCAGAGCGATTTGGTCGAGGGTGGACATTCCAGCACGGGAGTTGGAAGTTTCAAGATAAGCGTGTTGTTGCCGCGTACTTTTAGGACTCCTACGAAGAAGAAGGAAAAGTTTGTGTTGACGGCGGCTGTTTTCCAGACGGTGAGTTTTGTTTTGTGAATTATGTGATTGGTGTGACGGATAAGCTGATTGCCTTTCCCTTCCTTTCTTTTGACATAAGGCTGGAGCGTTAAATGGTGCAGGTGTGGCGATCTTCCATGGAAATGTCACCATCGCCCCGCACTGAGTCAACCGAGGATGTGGCTTTCAATATGAGGAGAATTGACGGACTGGGCGTTCAAATCGCTCGAGTGCTTTGTATATACTATGTGGATGAAATGAAGCTTGCACAACGGAACCCGCGGCCGAGAACCCGTCCGCAAATAGCGCCTCCTATGTAACTGGCGAAGATATGTAGAACCTTGATGCTGCCTGATGCTAGGCTACATGCAATCTGCACAGCTTGCCAATGGGAGTAAGTAATACATAATGTGGCGATGCCGCCACGGGATAAATATAGATCGATGGTGAACGTGCAAAAACTCCTGTTGCCGTGCCATTGTCGAATGCTGTGATCGCTTGGGTGGGGGTCGGATTAATTAATTCAGGGGCAGCATAGCTTTTGAACGAATGAATCTGACGATCCTAGAGGCTGTGCGCAACCAGCCCCCCCCTCACGAAAGCTCATGTATAAGTAGGCAGGACCCATGTATAAGAGTGGGTGCGGTGCAGCGACCAAGTATTCCCTTGCTTGACCTTGCCATATTTACCCCCACGCACACATTTCAAAGTCACCAAACATGAAGTTCTTCCACACCACCTTCATCGCCAGCTCGCTCCTCTTCCTTCTCACGTCACTCACAAGCATCCATTCGGCCTTTGCCTTCACAACTGGCATGAAAGTACCCACGTACACCCTCCGACCGGGCCATGTGTTCAACGTCACGTTCTTCACCCTTGCCTACATCCGCCCATCTGCTCAGTACTTTGTAATATTCGGACTGCAACCTGGAACGGGTCCGCTCACGGGTGGGAATATAGGTCAATTTGTTTTGACCAGTTCTCATAGCGATTGGCTGGAGAGTGGAGACTCTGTTACGGGGTCTGGACATTTCGATGTGGATGTGGCGTTGCCGGTTCACTTTAGGACTCCGAGAGGGAGGACTCAAAAGTACAGGTTGACGGCGGCTATTTTCCAATCAGTAAATTTGGTGAGTTTAGGGATGGGGATGATTGCTGAATGATGATGATGATGATGATGATGGTTATTCTTTGCCGAAAGACTGGATTCGACCAAATCGCAAGTATTTTAAAGTTCTCTGATTTCGTCACCATCGCTCCGCACTGAGTCGACTGGGATGTGTGGGGTGTTCATGAGAGGGAGAGGGAGAGGGAGGGAGAATTGATGATCTGTACTCAACATTTTAAAGCGTCGAAGAGGTTTTTATTCATGTTGATGAGTTCTGAGAAGCCAGATCCGAGCATGGCGAGCCAACGATGTGATCGACGTGGGACGTAATTCGGGTTCTAGCTTCCCACGATAGGCGTTAATGATAATCGCTTGGCGTGAGTCACGTTCAGGAACAGGAAATTTAGACCCGCACCAAAAATAGCTTTTTGGGAATTGTACGTAAAGTAGGGGGACCAACACGTGCTGTGGTGAATGCTCAGCTGATAAGAGATGGTGTGGATGCAGCGCGCCCTCCTTGCTTGACCTCGCACAACCCCACGTTCGAGTCTTAAAGTCCCAAGTCGTCAATATGAAGTTCTTCCACAACTTCCTTGCCTCACTTCTCTTCTTCCTCATATGCATCAACTCGACCTTTGCCATCATAACCAACGTCATAATTCCCCAGGGCGTCCTTCACGGTCACAAATTCACCCTCAAGTTTCTCACCGAGAAGAGCATAGACAATACTGTTCAGTACTACGTTATATTTGGACTACACCCTGGAACGAACCCGGTCGTCGGCGGGAATATTGGCGAACTCGTCTTGACCAGTCCTCACAGCGATTTGGTTGAGGGTGGACACTCCGTCACTGGGCATGGAAGTTTCAAGGTGGACGTTATGTTGCCGAGTAACTTGAAGATCAAGGGGAAGGAAGAAATTTTTGGGTTGATGGTGACTATTTTCCAAACCGTAAGTTTGGTTTGTGAATTGGGTGGCGGCCAAGCCGATGTTGAACGATTTATTTATTTATTTATCTTTTGCTGTAAGGCTGGAGCGAAGAATGAAGCGAGTGTAGTAACCATCCCGGGAACTGTCATCATCGCTGCGCACTGAGTCAACCGATATATAACAATATAACAATAAATTCGGACAACCTGATTGGATGGGTAGTGGTCACTTGGGCGGGAGAATCGATGATCTGCAGTCCCATTCAAAAGCACCGAAGAGTTTTTTTTTCCTATTGTTTGCTCTGCTTTTCCCCGTCTGAATATTCCCTTGTTACGTTTTCTTTGAGCGGGTTGGCGACGATTTTTATGGCCGTCGGCTGCAATGGTGCTTCCACGCATCAGCTAGGATACGCAGAGTGTGTTCAGTATTAATTAATATTTACAATGTAGTTAATCATGGATAACTAGTCTTTCGACGCAGAATAGGTGCAGAGTGAGAGGGCCACGATCGAGATCGTGAAGAGGTCTGTGGTTGATTATACAGGTCATCTTGGACCTGAGGGTTTGTTGCTGCAACATCAGTGGCGTGATGCTATGGGTTTTCGGATCGTCCACGTCGTCTCCCAACTGAGACTGATTGCACTAATATCTAAACCAGTAACTTTGCATGGCGCTTCATGGAAGAAATGGTGTTCGCAAACACCAAGAGCAGCATCCCGCGAGTTGGGGAGGATATTTCCGAGAAGCTATCCCTCAGGAAAACAATTGTATGCTTGGTGTAGGGGAGCCCACACTGCGGACGCAGGTCTGCCAGCTACGTCTCGGGTGGCACCTGTCCTGCGATTCGTGTCGCAGGCAGTAGAATGCTGATAACGGGGAAAATGACGGACTAAGTATCGAAGGCAGTGGCAGGCTGAAGCAGCGGACGCCACCTGATTGCAAAGCTGAGGGCACAAGTGGTTGGTCTGCCAGACGAACGTCCGTCTGGGCATTGTTCACGGAATCATACCTTGGAAAAACTGGTAACGAGCGCAAGCCAAAAAAAGAAAAATTCCTATTGCTACAGATGCAATTGGTGTCAAGTATCAAGTTGCTAGAGGGGTCGCCGGGACACCAGACGTGCTGGCATATAAGCAATAAGCCGCCTCCCGGGCGCAGGGCCTCACTAGAAGCATGACTCCTCAGTAAGGCACAGCACGACCATTACACGAACGAATTCACCATTTCGCCCGAGTGCTGGGTTGAAGTTGAAGCCAACGAACAACAAAGTAATACGTACGAGCCCGACGGCCTTTTCTATTTCTTCCTTTGTTGCCCCATCGAGCTTGGGACTTTTGCCTGGTTTTGCATCATCACTTGAATGTAGCTAAGCCATCTATCAGCTTCAGCAGAGAGGACAAGAACGGAAATTTACCTGGACGCGTTCCATCACCCTTTTATAGAACTCCACCCGAAAATCTCGTTGGCCTTCCCCCTCCATTTTCTGGTGCCAACGACCAAGAACCTCTGCCCTTGTGTAATTCTCTTGACCAAGCTCAACAACAATATCAACGAGAGACTCTACCATAGTCTCATGCACAGCTGCAAGGAAATCAGCGATACCCGAAAGTGTGCTGATGATAAGGCTATTGTTGCCGCACTTGGTCTTGAGATAGGTGGACACGGGCTCGTCCGATAACGGGTAACCAGGATTATCCGGTCTACGAAGACATATAGGGAGGGTAAAGATTCGTCTACCTACCTAGAGCAAATAAGGTCATTCTTTTTTCAAGATCAGAGGACAAACACACCTCCGTCAGCATACGCGATTTCCCAACCCCAGAGCTTTGGACTACTGAGATGGCTTTGGCATAACGTGGTCGGTTGCGGTTTCCCTGATCCCGGTCGAGTTGGTCAAGGTGCCTAATGAAAGTGAGAGGCGCACCACCAACAAAAGGGGCACGGTATGCGGCAGCAAGCTCTGGCGGCTAATCAGAACCCTGGAAAAAATACAAACTTTAGACTCACTTTGTTTATTGAGAAGCCTGCAAACAGAGCTACGTGAGTAAGAAGTAAGGTTGATGTTGAACAAGCGTACTTAGCGATCAATCGAAGATTTGGGGAATTGGTATCCCTAGTGCGTCGCAGTCTCGCTTCCACTGTACCATCAGTCAGTGCCTCAATGCTGGTTGGTACATACCATATCGATCAAGGGCCTCCATTGATTCTGTTTGAGAGCATCAGTGACCACCGAAGTTTTCCATGGTCGACGAGGTCTGTTCGCTGTTCGGAACAACATTGAAACGCCGGGTTACTTAATGACTCTGTGTGCAGAATAATGTGCATGTGACTCGCACAGCCTCTTCGGATATTTCCGAAAAGGGCTCTCCAACAATATATTCACTAAATCCTGCTGTGGGAAATTTTCAGACTAGAGTGCTCGCTTCGCTTGTTGGACTCTGCACCACATCACTTGTATTGTTGTCCAAATCATTGTCATATAATTTATTGGACACAGTAATAGAAAGGAGATAGCATGCAAAGAGGAAGTAAACAAGGTTTTCGGTATTAGCAAAAATTCAAAAGAGCATGGGTGGTGTGAGGCCCCGGCCCATGTCTATATTCCGCCCACAACATCAGTTGATGTTGTGTTGTGTAATAATTATGTCGCGACGCTAATTTAGCGTCGCGGAAGCTTCTCTATTTATTTGTGCTGAGAATGTATAAGATTGTATATAAACCCTCGGGGTAGCTGTAAAAGGCGGATCAGCCTTTACTTCTACCCCGTTAATATACAGCCAAATCAAGTGTATACTTAGACGGACTACTGAGGCCTGAGGCGAACGGGGGAACGGAACGTTACCATCCCCAAACTAGTAAGATACCTTTCACTTTTTTACGCTCTTATTCTCTTTCCATTCTCGGCACCGCGTTACCGGCGCCGAAACCCCATTTGGCAATGCGCGCGCATCGTCGGCCCCTGACAACGCGTGTTGAAGTCACGAGTCACCGGAACCTTCCGGGGCATTCTGGATTATTGTGGGAAATCGCTAGAATATTCCCGCTTAGTCTGTGCTTGCGTACGCGCGCTTGCGCAGTTACTTATTTTACGTATATCATCATTGTAATACATTTCGTGTATGTATAAATACGCACAGACGTGCGTTGAGCAAAATCATCAGAAAGTTTTCTAGCTTACCTCTGGTCTCGCGAGTATAACCGCTGAAGTAAGCGGATTGCCTTATCAGGAATCCCTACATTACAACAGGTTATGAGCCCAGCCTAAGGGTCATACCTAGTTAACTCTATATACTCGGATCTTTGCTTGACTTCTCAATAAAGATATCTAACTTCTCAAATATTCATTATGGCCTCAACTAAAGAAGAAGGAATTTCTCTCGGCGGATATAAAATCCCGGCCCTAACCGGCAAGGATAATTACCGTTCCTGGAAGAGCAACATCAAGGATATTCTGGAGGATATGGACTTATTACCTCACATAGAAAAATCGCTTGATGACCTTGTTGCTGCCAATCAAACTGACGAGGAGAAAATCAAGAAATCCAATAAGCGGGCTATCATGAATATGCGAATCCGATGCGATCAATATGTTCAAACATATATTGAGTCGGTCCGCGATGCAAAAGAAGCCTGGGAAATACTCCGGAACGAATATGAAGATTCCGGGAGTATTGCACGCATTTATCTTCGGCGGCAATTCTATAGCATGCGGATGTCGGAAGAAGATGATCTAAATACCCACCATTTAAAACTGCGCCGAATATATCAGGATCTCCGAGTCGCCGGGGACACGCTCCCGGAATCGGAATTTGCTATGGCTCTTATTACATCGCTTCCGTCATCTTGGGACAATTTTATTGCATCAATTGATTTCACAGATCTAGCGGAAACGGATGATAAAAAGAGAATGGCAGCAGTTAATTCGATTATTTCCAGGATCAGGGGAGAATCCAATCGGCGCAAATCACAGAACAATTCTACCACGCCTACAGCCTTCAATTCAACTAATTCCAACACAAGAAATCCTAAAACAAAGCCGGATAAATCTAACTCGGAGTGCCGGTACTGTCACAAGAAGGGACATTGGATACAGGAGTGCTGAAAAAGGATTGCAGATGAAAAAAGGAAGGGTGGAGAGAAAAATGCAAATATCGCGTCCAACAATGGAAATGATACGCAATCATTTGCCTTTGCTGGAGCGAATACGCATTTCGGAAATTCTTGGATTGGTGATTCCGGCGCGAATCACCATATAGTTCGGGATCGCGATTCATTCAATGAATACCATCCCATTTCAGGCCAATTCTTAAATGGAGTTGGAGGAATTAGAACTCCAATCCAAGGCCACGGAACCGTTCTCGTTACCATGCAATCGGACTCAGGATCCCATACAGCCACGCTTAGGGACTGTTACCATATCCCATCAAATGATGGTAACCTATTATCCTTGCGATGTTTTGACCGCGCGGGTGGAACAATTCAAATTAAATCCGACCAAATCAAATTGTTCACACCGGACGGATCAGAATTATGCACAGGACAAGCAAACGGCAATTCATTGTATAAAATGAATATGTCTATTCTAAAGAAGCCGATCGCGATGGCAGGAACTACAGGAGGGGATAAGGAAGGAAGAACATGGGAGGAGTGGCACAGGGCAATGGGGCACATCGCGCCCCAGTCCCTCAAAACAATGATGGAACAGGGAAATGTTGATGGAATGAAAATAATCCCATCCCCATTAAACTTTGAATGCGAGGCATGCATTCAAGGCAAATCCACAGCGCAACCGGTGCCCCGGGAATCCAATACAAAGTACCGGGAAATCGGGGAACTTATCGTTACCGACCTCTGGGGACCAGCGCAAGTCATGGGAAAAGGGGGAGTCAATTATTTTATTTCATTCACGGATGCTGCAACACGTTTCTCGGTGGTCGATTTCCTTAAGGAGAAATCCGATGCATTCGAGGCATACAAACAATTCGAATCCCGATTATGGACTCAATACAGTCGCAAAATCAAATGCATTCGATTCGACAGCGGCACGGAATTCCTGAACAATAGATTCATTACCCATTTACGCAATCAAGGAACACTCCATCAAACCACCGCTCCACATTCCTCTTCCCAAAATGGCATTGCAGAGCGGTTAAACCGCACATTATTGGATCATGCTCGCGCAATGTTGTTTGATTCTAAATTACCAAAAACATTGTGGACATATTCAATCGCTTATGCATGCTATTTAAAAAATCGCTCTCCCACGCGCGCACTCGATGGAAAAACTCCCTATGAGATGTTTTTCAATGCGAGGCCAAACATTAATTCAATTCACATATTTGGGTCGGATGTTTGGGTGCTGGACCAAGACCAAAAGGGGAAACTGGACCCGCGTTCCAACAAATATAGGTTTATTGGATTGACCGATAATACACGCGCAATTTACTACTACAAACCGGAAAGTGGGGTAATTGCAAAATCAAAGAATGTTATTTTTCCCCATCCCCATAACCCCCACCCCAATGTCGAAATTCCCATTCCCGCTTCCAGTCCGCCTGAGGGGGAGCCTCAGTCAAATAATCCGCAGACGGACGTGGAAAACCAGGAGAAAAAAGCAGAACAGGTGCCCGGCAATTCAAAAGAAGCGGGATCTGCGGAAGCAACGGAAGCCAATTCATCGCTTAGCCGAAATGAATACACGGGAATCCGAACGAGAAGCCAATTGAAACGAATCCAATCCCCATTAGTCCAAATTAGGACGGATCATGGACCGGTCAGAACCGAAAATCAAAATTCCCTCGCGCATGCAATGGCTGCAACAGAATCCGATAGCCCGGATATCCGTGAGGCATTACAGTGCTATGATGCTGAGGATTGGCGCTCGGCAATGGATGCCGAAGTGGCCCAACTTCAAAAGTTGAACACCTTTGAATTGGTCCCTCTGCCAGCAGATCGTAGAATTATCGGTTGCCGATGGGTCTTAACCACAAAAAGAAATACAGAAGGGGAAATAATCAAATACAAGGCCCGGCTCGTCGCGCAGGGATTTTCTCAAATTCCAGGAATGGATTTTGATGAAACCTTCTCGCCAGTAATGCGACTAGAGTCATTCAGGGTCTTATTGGCTATTGCGATTCAATTGGACCTCGAAATACATCAAATGGATGTTGTCGGGGCGTATTTGAATGGAGAATTGGAGGAGGAAATATACATGAAGCAAATCCCGAAGTATGAGGACGGCACGAACAGGGTCCTTCGCCTAAACAAGACTCTGTATGGCCTTAAACAGGCAGGGCGGGTGTGGAACCGACGACTACATAAGGCATTAACCGAATTAAGTTACATGCGCTTATTCACCGACACCTGCGTTTACGTGCGTCACCAAAACGGGAAAATATCAATTATCGCCTTCCACGTCGACGACTCCGCCATATTTGCCCCTGCAGATCATATTGAATTCGTTAAAAATGAACTCAAGTCAAAATTCGACACCCGCGATCTTGGAGAATTGAATCACTTTGTTGGGATTAAAATTTCCCGAGACCGGAGCAACAATTCAATCACGATCTCGCAAGAACAATACATTCGCGACATAATTGAACGTGCCGGAATGATTGATTCCAACCCAGCGCCTACCCCAATGCACCCGAAACAGGCCTATGAAAAGTTCTCAGGCCCGCGCCCAGATTACCCCTATTCAACAATGATCGGATCGCTTATGTGGGCCGCATTATGCACGCGCCCAGATATTGCCTTTGCCGTTCATCACTTTGCGCAATTCAATAATTCTTATGGTCCGGAACATATTTCTGGAGTCAAACGGATTTTTCGATACCTAGAGGGGGCAATCAATCGCGGAATTACCTATTCAAAATCGGATTCCGGATTAACGGCAATTGGGTATGCAGACGCGGATTGGGCAGAACAAAAGGACCGGAAATCTATTTCTGGTAACCTATTCATCATGTCAGGGGGAGCTGTCGCCTGGAGCGCTAAGAAACAAGGGACTATCGCCCTATCGACCATGGAAGCCGAGTATACTTCCTTAAGTCACGCATCACGCCATATACTATGGCACCAAATGCTCATCCGGGAACTCGGATTCAATGCGGAGCGCCCATTCAATCTCAACAACGATAATCGTGGGGCTATTGCATTAACT